TTTTTATATTTAAAGAATTTGCCACTGATTATTCATACACGAGTTTTGAGCAATGTAGAGTAGCGCTTGTTGTTTGTCATTTCTCCGATCACAAATGCAGACATGGTTTTATGTTTACGTGGCGCGATGCAACGCAACGCGTAAAAAGACAGTATAAATCATTGTAATACGTAATTATGTCCCCACTGGACGCAACAAATGCCTAGTTTATAATGGGTTTTAATGTTTTTGTCTCATCGCTCAGGCCGGACAGGGCATCACAATATGGTCAGGGGCGTAACATTTCCGTCACACGCTTGAGGTATTCGGCCAATCACAACGCACTGGATAGCTGGCCAATCAGAGCACACCTCACTTTTCAGACCGATGAGCTTTGTAAAAATCGACACGTTTCAGAAAGGCGGGGCATAGAGGAGAAACTATAATGTACAATATGAAGAAAATAATGTGTGTTTAAACCTTAAACCGCATAAACACATTTCACTACACCAAATACACAAAATAATGTTCTTTTTAGCAACATCATATGACCCCTTTGAATATACGAATAATTGTTATTTCTTTTTGTGTTGAATTTGCATTAAACAACGTTAAAAAGGGATGCTTTGAGTGAAAAACATAACAGCATGATGTAAAATGCATTTGATTGCGTAAAGGAATGTCGCTGCATTATAGCCCAGTCAAAATACAAACTACACGCCTCGTCATGTTATCTCGTGATATATCACAAACCCATTTGAATGGGATGTGTTGTTATACACAAAATCATTGCTGTAAGGGTTTAAACGTAATTATTTAAGTGTCATTAGTATCCTATGACAGCTGTAACAATTTAGTAGGCGTGTACTGTTGTGAAGCAAGAGAAAACGCCTCTGATCAAACAAACTGTTGCATCCATTGACGTTCGATCACATTAAATTTACTAAACTAAAAATAATGGATTGAAGATATCAGTTATCCCAGAGCTGGTGTTTTGTACCCTCTGTTAAGAATAGCCTGTGATATTTGTAACGTACAGAAATAGTCCGATCTGTTATTACAACTCAAGTAAACATGTAAAACAGGTTTCCTGTTAGTCTATAACTCGTCAACAAAAATGCATCGAAATGCAGATTGATGTCACTCGTGCGGATCGGAAATTAATAAGAATCTGCTGTGCCCTAAAACCATTGGAATTAATAAATGAGTCGATAGGGAGTTTTAAATGTCATATTATGAAAGCAAAACTGTCAAAACACGTGCGGAACAGACGTGAAATAGGAACTGATTGATGGTAAACTGCTGCTCGAACTCGCTCATGAAAGCAAATCTGCTCAACAGTTTCAGATGACTGAACATTTGATCTAGAGGCTGTTATAAATGAACAGGAGCTTTGAAGTATTGTAAATAAATACTGGGTCGCGATATCCAAAACTCGCGCGGTGCTCCGATTGCATGCGCGAGCCGCTCCATCTCATCTCCCCCGTCCGAAAACGCACACTCTCTCGCTAACTGCTGTGGATGTAACCGATGTAACGGCCCGAAAATCACTAAACACTCATGCCAGAGCGGCTTCCTATGACCTGCGCCATATTTGAACACCCCTAGGTACGTAAGCCTTCTGGAGAAAAAAAATGAAACACGAGCGGATAAAACTTGAGAAATGTAGTAGAGGGGAAACTACGAAGTGTTACAGCCCTCGTCCCCCACTTACCTCGTGCCTCCTGGGTCACCGTGAATACGAGTAAAGTCAGCAGTAACGAGCGGCTAAGCAATGTTCCCACGTCCATCGTGGTAGAGAGCATTCTTTAGGACTGGTCAGTTTTTTTCTCACACATTCAACTAGTCGGGTCTTTGCTTCGAGAAAGGGAGCGTTCTGATTGGTCACCACGGAGAATTATGCTCCGCCTACATTGTTCACGCGTTACCCTGTCTCAGTTCTGCCGGGGAGTTCGGCTGTGCCTCAAAATGACTGTGAATCTGTCCTGTGAATGTAGTTAGGAAATGTATCTGATCATCCCAGATGCAGTTCTTATGTTCAGGGTTTCAAAAAAAATTCAGTCAAGCTAATCGTAATGAGATACTCATGGCAGTAATTTAGCATAAAAATAAAAAGACAGCAAGAAAGAGCCTAAGATGGTTTGCTTGGCTGGTTTCCACAGGGCATTGTATTAAGACATCTTTGACTATTATAGTAAATGTATTAATAAATAATAATAATGCATTATATTTATATATTATTATGTAATACATATATAATACATTTAATTTATTATTATTAATTTATAATAAAACATATTTACATCATTAATATAACATGCAATTATATTTTCTGTGTAAATGCACTTATGATACCTCTATGTAGCATTAAACAATCGAAACACTGTAAATGCACCTTTTTGTGATACATATGTTGCTTTATATGCAGCGTTTGTACTGCCCTAGCAGACATATAATAAGAAAATAAAAAGGTTTTGAATCAAAAAACATATATAGCCAAAAATGAAAGAACTATATGTCCTCAGAATGAAATGAGCCAGGCCAGACACAGCCTGAAGGCAGATATTGATTATTAGTAGCTATATCTGCAGTTAGTACACTGCAGCAAACTTCTCTTTCCTGCTGGTCTGAGTAATACTGACAGCTCAGAATACAACTAGTTTGTGCTGCAGACATAGAAAACACAAGCAATGACATGATGGCATATAAAAGAATGAGCTCAACGAAGATTGGTTATTAAAACTAAGTTTAAACTGTTTTAGATCAAACTAGGCAATAAAAACTTGAGGAAAATTTGATCAAATTTGAGGTAAACAAACAAAACAAAACAAATCAAACAAACATACAAAAAAAAACAACAACACTAAAACATTATTTGTGCCAAGCTTAGCTCTATAAATAATTAATATCACATTATACGTTTATAGTATCTGAATCAAACCGTATTAAAAGTTTTTTAAACCACATATCCTGTCTTTTATGTCTCCACTCTGCCCCCTTGTGACCTAATGTATATACCAAAAGTTTGGGGTCAGTAAGTTTTCATTTTTGAAGGAAATTAATACTTTTATTTAGTATAGGCATATAATGTTAGACCTTTTGAACTTCATATTTATCAAAGAATCCTGAAAAACGTTTCTGGGTTTCCACACGCTATATTCAGCATTTTAGAATGATTTTTGAAGGATCATGTGACACTAAAGACTGGTGTAATGATGTTGAAAATTCAGCTTTCCCACCACAGAAATAAATTACATTTTAAAATATATTCAAATAGAAAACAGTTATTTTACATTGTAATAATATTTCACATTCTTACTGTATTGTTGATTAAATAAATGCAGCCTTGTGAGCATAAGAGATTTCTTTCAAAAATATAAAAATAGTGTAATATAAACTTAGAGAAAGATGAGCCACACTTATAAAACAAAACATTTATTAACTCAGCACCATTCAAATATGAAAAAAAGAACGGGAGTTCTCTTTATTATTGTTTCATACTTAAATTTGACGAAGATAAACAACACCGTTACTTACTTTCTAGTTTGTCTTTATAAATATGTCATAGAAAGATTAAAAACAGTGAAGAGTTATAATATTGTGGTGGCCACTGTCAACTTTTGCAATTAATGCCATTTAAAGTATGTACTTGTTTTAGTTTGATGTGTTTTACATTACAAATTAGACATTTTGCCTCTTTTAAATACTAGTTTAAAGCAAGTTCACAGAATGGAGCTTCATGGGTCTGAAAAAACAAACAAACTAGGCCTATTAAAAAACACCCAAGAAATTATTAATACAGTGAATTTAAACAACTTCCAAAACACCCTCATTGGATACAGTATATCCAATTACTGATGTCTAATTATTGGTATTTAATCTGATTAAAAAGATCAGAATGGTCTCAAATTTGTAGTTAATACATTACACACACACACACACACACACACACACACACACAAGAAACTCTATATTAGTCTTTATGAGGAGGGGTTAATATCATCCGAGAAGGCACAGTGTAATGTGGTGAATTCATACAATGGATCTGCACTTGCTTGATATCTGGCTGAGGTATTCTTTGGTATTCTAATAGTTGAATAGAAGTCGGTGGGTCGTCGATTGAACAGTATCAGTGGGTGATTTATACATATTTACATCATGCTCAGAGAAGAAGTGAAACATGATTGCAGTGCTATTTTCCCTGGCTTGTAACTTCTCACAGGAGCTCTCTTCCTAATTAAAGAGTAGATTGGATATTTTCCCCAGCAGGCCAGCTACTGCTGCTCCCTACATCTGCATTGCTTGACTTCAAAAAATGGTCAGCTTTCTAGTTCCTTCCAGGGCTCTGAATGTAGCTGTTCTCAATGCAAAGCACAATGAAGTGGTTTGAGCAGGTACGTGTGTGCTGCCCCAGCAGTCTGCCGGTCTGCAGAAGAGATGCCTGTCCGGTCACTGCCATGTCACCTGTTCTCCAGGCTTCACAGTAGTTAGTTGTCATTTGGATGCCCGTGGTACTCGAGCCGTGCCACACCAGTTTCTGAGGCCTTAAGTCATAACATGTGCAATTTATTAATTCATGTTTGTTCATAATATAAGAAATCATATTAATTGAGATAAATTGAAAAGTTAAAATATATTCAGAAATGTAGAAAATGCATGTTTATATATGTTTTGTTTTACTTACTGGCATTTTACTTTATTTCTGAATGTAATAATAAAATGTGACTTAAATACATGTTTATAGTGTACTATGTAATGTCTGTATACATTAATTTATTTACTGATATTTTGCATTATTTCTAAATGGATATTTATTATAAAATGTGACTTAAATACATGTTTATAATAGTTATTTTGTTTAATTGTTCTCACTTTACATTAGGTGTCTTTAAGTACTATGTACAATACAAAATTAATTGCTGTGAATTGTATTGCATATCACTATTGCTGCTATTGAGGTGGGATACAGGTAAGGTTAGGGGCAGGTTTAGTGGTATGGTTAGGTTTAAGGGTGGGTTAAGGTGTAGTGGTAGGATTGACAGCGTTATTACAGATGTAACTACAGAAATTAATTACAGATGTAATTGCAGGAAGGTATTTTAAGCATAAATGTAAAAATATTTACGTACACAATAACTGCATCGTATCAAATTAATAATTTAAATGTAAGTACATAGTAGTTAAAGACACTTAATATAAAGTGGGTCTGTTTAATTTACTGTTATTTCACATTATTTCTGATTGTAATAATAAAATGTGACATACACTGACGTGTCTGTGTTTTTGTTTTTGTTTTTTGTTTTTCTCTGAACAATGCCATTTTGACCCGGTGTCACTTTTTTCCCCCAGCAAATATAGTGACTAAGATTAACAAAATGCTGTATCAATTCTTGGTTTGTTCATTATTAGATAACTAATACATTACATATTGTAAGATATAGCAGTGTTTCCCAACCACTTTCAAATTTTTCAAAACTTTGTGGCACCCTACACAAACACTACTGCTCAAGTCTACCTGCTCTGGACTGCTAAACGAGGATGAAGCTGATGGTTCAGAAGCATCTTAAGAACACTTTAAGTACTGCTTGGATGCCACAGTTAAAACTATAGCCTAACTAATAAAGTTGAAACATTATAATTGACAAGTGAACAGTCAGTAATAAAATAAGAACAACCAAATGCATTTCAAGCTTTTTGCATTTGAATAAGCATTCAACAAAGAAATGTTGATCTATTTCCATTTGTTATGAAGGGAATGTGAACAGTAGATACCTCAACTTTCTTCCAGCCCCCTCGTACCCTGATGTAAAGTTCACTCTTGTCTATGACATATGCCAGAGTCCCTTCTGCACCCTGACTGGTCTCTCTTATCAAGGTCTGAGTGTTTTTATATGTTCTCACCTGGGAAGGCAAAGTAAGCAGTCATAATCTAGACAAACATTAAAAAAACAAGATGCATTTAATCTTTTATGAGCTTGCTGAGTTTTGTGCCATCTGACTTACAGGGTTTCCATGGCCAGGAGCTCCAGATGGCCCTGGATGACCTGGAGGTCCAGGGATATTCGCAGCTGAGACAGAAACAAATAAAAAAGAATTTTGATGCATCAGTAAGTTGTTTACACTCAAAATTACTCTGGAGAGAAATCTGTTTAAGAATGCATTCGGGCTAGTCATCTAAAAAGTTTGGAAAAGCTCACTTTTTGCAGTCATGATAAAGGTGTTTGTTGTTACCTGAGCCATATGCGGACGGAGTGCCTGGTGGTCCAGGAGGTCCTGGTGGCCTTTGTGGTCCTGGACTTCCATAGCCAGGCAGTCCTGGAAGGCCTGGGGAACCAGTGTCCCCAGGAGGACCAACAACAGAGTCCCCTTTAGGTCCCTAAAACACATAGCATCACATTGAGGCTGGAATGTGAGAGGGAGACACTTCTACTAACATTTATCAAAATAAGCATAGTCATAGTTCATGTCTTTGTTTCAGCTGACTTACGACAAGGCCTGTCCTCCCACGGAGCCCTGGTGGGCCAGGCAAACCTGGATCCCCTTTGTCTCCCTTTTGCCCCTTGTAGCCAATATCACAAAAAAAATGTAGATATTGTGATCACTCAGTAATACTCAGTAATGTTAGTAATGTCAATTTTGGTACATTTGAGCTTACTTTGTTATTATTATCATCATCATTATTTATTTAATTAACCTTTTTTTGTACTGTTTTTCTCTATGCAAATACACATATGAACATTCTTTAGGTGCATATGGAAGATTGGAGGTGATTGTAACCCTCTTGGAATGGCAGAAGTCTGCCGGGGAAACACGGGCTTGAGGCTATACCGTGGACTCTACACTTATGGGATCCACTTAGGTCTTACATATGGAACCCAGCCTTCTACCGGTTCTCGAGGATTCAACGAGTGAAGGCCTGGCGCCGGACGCTTGGGCATGTCAGGCTGCCGAGGGGACAGAGGAGCTCAACAGGGTCTACTATATGGACTCTCTGGAGTGGTTTTAGCAAGCCGACCCGAAGCCGGGGCCTCTCAGTGCTTCTACCCGTTTGAGGTGAGAACACAGGAGGATACCGGCTCCACACGAAGGCTATAGAATCTAGCGAACGTGTTAGGGGTTGCCCAGCCCGCAGCTCTACAGATATCTGCCAGCGAGGCGCCACGAAACATTCCTTAGGTGCATATGGAAGATTGGAGGTGATTGTAACCCTCTTGGAATGGCAGAAGTCTGCCGGGGAAACACGGGCTTGAGGCTATACCGTGGACTCTACACTTATGGGATCCACTTAGGTCTTACATATGGAACCCAGCCTTCTACCGGTTCTCGAGGATTCAACGAGTGAAGGCCTGGCGCCGGACGCTTGGGCATGTCAGGCTGCCGAGGGGACAGAGGAGCTCAACAGGGTCTACTATATCTACAGATATCTGCCAGCGAGGCTCCACGAGCCAGCACCCAGGAAGATGCAACACTTCTAGTTGAGTGAGCTTCCACCCTGAATGGGCAGGGCACATTGGCATGCGATTATTGCATCCACTATCCAGTGTGCCATCCTCTGCTTAGAGACGGCATTCCCCTTCTGCCGGCCTCCGTGACAGACAAAGAGCTGGTCAGAGGTCCTGAAGCTTTGCGTCCGGTCTACGTAGCACCCAGCTAGGGCTGGGTCTGCCTCCTCCGAGGGCAGCGCTTGGCGGTTCACCACCTGATCCCTGAAGAGAGTAGCGGGAACCTTGGGCACATAGCCGGGCTGGGGCCTCAGGGTTACCTGGGAGTCAGCCGGCCCGAACTCTAGGCATGAATCGTTGACCGAAAATGCGTGCAGGTCACCTACCCTCTTGATGGAGGCCAATGCCAGCAGGAGCAAAGTCTTCATCGAAAGAAATTTCAGCTCGACCGTCTGCAAAGGCTCAAATGGGCCCTGCTGTAGTGCTGTGAGCACTAGAGTCAGGTCCCAAGAGGGTATAGAGGGGGGCCGTGGAGGATTTAGCCTTCTCGCCCCCTTAAGGAACCTGACGACCAGGTAATGCTTCTCCAGCGACTTCCCTTCTACGGGGTCGTGGTTAGCAGTGATTGCAGCAGCTTAGACTTTGAGGGTGGAGGGAGACAGCCTTCGCTCCAAGCCCTGCTGCAAAAAGGACAGTACGACTCTGATCGGGCATCTTCGGGGGTCTTCTCGGTGAGAAGAACACCACTCAACGAACAGGTTCCACTTCAAAGCGTAGGCATGTCTCGTAGACGGTGCTCTCGCTGAAGTGATGATGTCAACTACCTCTTGAGGTAGGTCACTTAGAACTTCCGCGTCCTGTCCAGGGACCAGACATGAAGTTTCCAGAGGTCTGGACGCGGGTGCCAATGGGTGCCCCGTCTCTGAGTCAGTAGATCCTTCCTCAGAGGAATCGGCCAAGGAGGGACTGTCGCAAGGATCATTAGTTCTGGGAACTAGGTCCGGGTAGGCCAACAGGGTGCCACCAACAGGACCTGCTCCTTGTCCTCCCTGACCTTGCACAGCATCTGTGCAAGAAGGCTCACTGGGGGAAACGCATATTTGCGAAGGCCCTGCGGCCAGCTGTGTGCCAGTGCATCCGTGCCGAGTGTTCCCTCAGTCAGGGAGAAGAACAACTGGCAGTGAGAGGTTTCTGGAGAGGCAAACAGGTCTACCTGAGAGGCTCAGAAACGTCTCCAAACCAGCTGGACCGTCTGGGGATGGAGTCGCCATTCTCCCGGGAGTGCAGCTCGAGACAGCTTGTCGGCTGCCCGGTTGAGCAGCCCAGGAATGTGAACAGCACGATGCTTTTGACTCCAGAGGAGGAGGTGGCAGGCGAGTTGCGACATGCGAAGGGAGCGCAGACCACCTTGTCGGTTGATGTACGCAACGGTCGCTGTGTTGTCCGTGCGGACAAGTACATGCTTGCCTCCTAAGCGCCCTTTGAGACGGCTCAGGGCAAGGTGCACTGCCAGCAACTCGA